AAAGGAATGTGAAAGTAGAAAAATAAAACACAGATACAGAGGAGGGGTAAAAAAAACCCCAAGAAACTGCTGAAAATACAATGCCTCATTCAGTTGTCAGATATGAGAAGAAGGTGGGTCAATTCAGTTCTCAGTAAAACCTCTCCACATGCTTGTCTGTCGTACAGGTGGTGTAGTGGGCTGTTCAATTGAGTTAGCATAGCAGAGGAACTTATACCATATTGAGTAAAAAAGGACAAGGCACCTGATTTTGACAAAGCATTGTACATAAGATTAAAAACAAGGAAAGCTTAGCCCATGTTTTTTTTTTTTGGCTTTCTTAACATCAGAGCTTCCAAACTGGGACTGTCAGGCAAGAGGCACTGCTATATGCTTTGGGTGGTATTAAACCAGGTTTCCTCAACCTCGGCCCTGCAGATGTTTTTGAGACTACAATTCCCATCATCCCTGACCACTGGTCCTGCTAGCTAGGGATCATGGGAGTTGTAGGCCAAAAACATCTGGAGGGCCAAGGCTAAGGAAGCCTGTATTAAGCTATGCCTGGAGCAACTGAAACTAATGAACATGACTAAGTTAGGCCCATTAATTTTAGTGGGTCTTCTCTTAGGTGAATACCACCCTATGATTATGGCTCTCAGCCGATTAGTGATGGGGAACCTTGGGTCCAGGGCCAATTGCACCCCTCCGGGCCTCTTTGTCTGGGCCTTGAAACTCCCCAAGCCCACACCCTTCACTTGTGCTTCTGCACACCCAGAGTGTTTGGCCCCAGTCAACAAATGCTGCAGTTAACTGCCCTGCCAGCTAACTGAATTAAAACCTTCACTTTTCCTTTTTAATCAGAATTTGTGTACTGCTTGATGGTAAGAAACCCACTAGGCAGTGGGACATTTTATTACAAAAAGATAGAGTGCAGTTGCAAAACGTTAACAAATCTTTGGTACTGCCATTTTAATTTGCAAAAAAAGGCGTTTATGGTTCTCATTCACCCTCTTCAGAACTCAGAGTTCAGGTGAAGTGGCAGGGCTGGTTCGGAGTGCCTCACTCGAGACCACATATTATGGCAAAAGTGGGACTTTAATCAAAACTCTGAAAAGAAGTTTCTTGGAAGGAGGTATACAGAAAACATAAAACGAAGTGATGGACAAGCCAGTAGAGTAGTTGCTTGTTTAGTCTTCTGGTTGGAGAGGTGCAAAAGCTGCTTCTTTTTAAAAATTGCTTTTTATGGAGTTTTAAATTGGTTATTCGTCTACATATTCCGTTCACTCTTTAACATATATTGTACACATATAAAAAAATCAAACAATAACAATATTTCTACACAAGTGACTTCCCACCACCTCAGCTTCTGTCGTCTTTCGCTTTTCAACTATGTTGTTTTTCCTTATTGCCTTTCTAATACATAATATATCTCAGGGGTGGCCAACTCCCAAGAGACTGCGATCTACTCCCAGAATTAAAAACTGCCCGTTTTTTAGGTGTTCTGGTCAAAGTTGTTGAGCTTTTTTTAGGGAGAAAGGGGAACAGCCACTCACCAACAGATCGCTGCGGAAACTAACAGCCTCACTCAGTAAACTCCTGGTCTTCCGTTCTGCAGATCATGTGACAATGGAGGCAGGGCGAGGGGGGCCGGGCCAGATTCTAATTTACCAGTGGAAAGGGACCCAGGGATCGACCACGATCTACCAAAACCTCCCAGGGATCTACCAGTAGATAGCAATCGACCTGTTGGACATACCTGATATATCTTACCTATCTGATCTTTACTTTGCAAAATTTACTCGGAACGTATCAGGGATTTTATTTGAGAACAATGTTTTCCCTGATAATCTTTTACACATTCCCACTCTGTTTGGAATTTTTGGTTTGGTTGGTTCCTAATTGCCTCTGTCATGCTTGCTAATTCCAAATACTGGTACAATTTACAGATAGGTAGCCGTGTTGGTCTGCCATAGTCAAAACAAAAAAAATTCCTTCCAGTAGTTCTTGGTATGAGCTTTCGTGTGCATGCACACTTCTTCAGATACACACCCTTGTGTATCTTGGCACCCTTGTGTATCTGAAGAAGTGTGCATGCACACGAAAGCTCATACCAAGAACTAACTTAGTTGGTCTTTAAGGTGCTACTGGAAGGAATTTTTTTTGTTTTGGTACAATTTAGTTTGCCATTCTTCCTTTGTTGGTGTCCTATCCCCCTTCCGGTTTCTAGCGATTAACATTCTTGCTGCTGTTGTAGCATATAGGAACACCCTTTTTCGAGAGGTGCAAGAGCTTCAAGTGGAGAGTTTGTTGGACTTGGACTCTGGTTCAGATTTCAGGTGATGGGAAAGGCCTCTGCCTGAGACCTTGGGAGAGCCGCTGCCAGTCAGAGTAGGCTAGATGGAAAAGTAGCCCGACCTTCTAATTTGAAGCTGGCTTCCAACATTCCTATGTTTGCCGTGCGTGCTTGCTGGGTGGCTGTTTGCCAAAGTAGGCTCCCACTCTCACTCCCCAAGTTGTTCTTGGTAAGAGAGCTGGCCTTTGTGTTTTGAAGGACTTATTAATGAGGGAGGCAGGCCAGCCGGCTAGGCCTTGGAGGAGCTAGCTCGGCCCCAATATGCCATGTTTGTGAAGCCGGCGTGGTGCTGGCGGGAAGAGCAATGAGTGCTGCAGATAAAGAAGAGCGACACATTTAGCAGACGCCTGATAAAAGGCGCCTGGCTTGTTGCAAGTGGGGGGGGGAATGAGTTTGTGCTTCCCTTGGCCGCATTCGCACCATACGTATGATGTTGTTTTAAACAGTCAGGGATTCTTCTCCCAAAGGATTCTGGGAGCTGTCGGTGGTTAAGGGTGCTGAGAGTGGTGAGGAGAACCCCATTCCCCTCACAGAGCTACAGTTGCCCTAGTGGTTTTAACAGCCAATCCTCCTTCACAGGAAAATTGTAGCTCTTGGAGGGGAACACGGGTCTCACAGCAACTCTTGGCACCCTTAACAAACTACATCTCCCAGGATTCTTTGGGGGAAGCCACAATGGTTTAAAGTGGTATCACACTGCTTTAAACGTATGGTGTGGATGTGCCCTTGGTAAAATGGAAAGCTTTCGGTTTTGGCTGTAGAGTCCTGCTGCAGGAGCCCTGGACATTATCGTTGTCGTTTGGTGTCATAGGACTGACTCCTCACTCATCTTCTCCTCTGTAACCTTTCTATCAGATGGGGCAGTCATCACTCTTGACTTTTGACAGGATGTGCTCTCTATTTTTAAGCTTTCTTGTCCCCCTCCCTCCCTTGTTACAGAGTGAATTTGATGCTGTCTTCGTATTTCAGGCTTTGTAGCTGAGAAAGAAGGCTAGAAAGGGGTCAGGGGGGAGGATGCTGGACTACTTAGGCCTGATTCAGCAGGGCTCTTGCGTTAGGTATTTGGCTCAAGCCACCCCCAGTTTCCACCGGGCTGTGTCTCCAGGCTGCTGTTTTGCATTTGGGTCTGGTTAGTGAGCTTCAGGATTCTTCTAGTGAAAAGCAAAGTGGACGTCTTCCCTCCAAAGTCCTATGGTTTGACCATTCCTGAGCTGTTTTAGTCCAGCATCACATTTTGCAGCAGCCGATAGTTGCTAGAAGTTGTTGGTGGTCATGTCTGGCTTCGAACAATGCTCAATTTTCTGTTTCCAGTCCCTTTCAAGCATAACTCCTCAACCCAACTTCTGGATAGCTCAGCTGGTTAGGATGTGGTGCCGACAATGCCAAGGTTGCAGGTTCAATCCCCATGTGGGGAGAATTGTGGGGGGTTGGACTAGACTAGAGGATCCTTAGGGTCCCTTTCAGCTCTACAATTATATTTTGTTTTAAATGAAAATTCGCTGGAACCCAGAGCAAGGTTCTGCGCTCAAGTGTAGCAAGCTTCCTTCTACGGAGTCAGAATATTGATCCATTTATTGTCACTGGAAGCCAGCTCTCCAGATTTCCACCAAAGCATCTGTCCCAGCCCCACCTGGAGATTCCAGGGATTTGAAACTGGGATCTTCTGCATGCAAAGCAGGTGCTCTAACACTGTGCTGCGAACCTTCTCTTAATGCAGTTGCGGAGTACGCACAGCCTTGGTCATTGACAGGTAGCAAAAATACTAACACATCTACACCCAGGGCTTTGATTGGACGTGAAGGAAGGATGCCCACAGATAATGCTGTCTTGGTGTCTTCTTGATGATGGCAGAGGTGCTCACAAAGCAAGCCAGTCTCTTTACCCATTTTGCTACTGGAGTGAAAGGTGTTTAGTACATGCGTCCCCTGGAAACATTTTGGAAAACTGTTCCAAAGAGCAAGAACATGAGAAAAGGATCCCTGCTGGATTGGGCCAGGGACCCATCTGGTCCAGAACCCTGTTCTCACAGTGGGGAAACCAGCAAGCGGGATTCGAGGCGCAAGTCCCTCTCCCCTTGTGTGGTTTCCAGCAGCCAGTATTCAGAAACATTGCTTCCTCTTAACCAGGGGACAGCAAACTTTTTCAGCAGCGGGCCGGTCCACTATCCCTCAGACCTTGTGGTGGGCCGGACTATTTTTTTTGGGGGGGGGGGGAATGAACAAATTCCTATGCCCCACAAATAACCCAGAGATGCATTTTAAATAAAAGGACACATCCTACTCATGTAAAAACATGCTGATTCCCAGACCATCCACGGGCCGGATTTAGAAGGCGATTGCACCAGATCCGGCCCCCGGGCCTTAGTTTGCCATAGCCGGAGAGCAGAACCATCATGGCTAGTAGCTTGCTATTTCAGAGAAGCATTGGGAAGGTAGCAACTTGTGCAGAACTGCGTTGGATCTCGATGTGGGCATTTGGCAAATCTTCTAGAAGGCGGACTCCGATAATATACCACATGTGTAAAGCTGGCCTTTCCCTATTTGTGAATACCGCTAAAACCAAGCGACATCCTCTCACGAGAGGTTGGGCTCCCTCTCTGTGGGAACCAGGGTCTTGTGAAGGTCCGCGCCTCGTTCTTGACCCTCTCCTTTTCCTCTCTACTCCGCAGGCCTACGAACTCTCCACCTTAACGGGCACTCAGGTGTTGCTGCTCGTGGCCAGCGAGACAGGCCACGTCTACACGTTCGCCACGCGGAAGCTGCAGCCCATGATCACCAGCGAGACTGGGAAAGCGCTGATCCAGACATGCTTGAACTCTCCTGACTCTCCTCCTCGGTCAGACCCAACCACTGATCAGCGCATGAGCGCTACGGGCTTTGAGGAGACGGACCTCACTTATCAGGTGTCCGAGTCAGATAGCAGTGGAGAAACAAAGGTATAGACACCCACCCTTTTTCGTGCTGTGGAGGGCTTGGAGGAGGGGGGAATTATTCCTACAGGTCTCTGGGGCGGGAAGAACCTTGTACTTGCAACCTTGCCTTCTACCTTGGAGAAGGTTTACCTGGGAGGACTACAGAGCACAGGTGGGCAGATTTCAGGCTTGTTGGGTGGGTCTATTGTGCATGTGTGGGAGAGGAAGAGTGAACTTGTGTTGAGGGTGACCTAGCATTTGCAGGAAGGAAGCCTGATGTTCTCATCAATTGGCCTCCATGCTCCTTTTAGAACCTTGGATCTTCCAGGGTTCCGAATCACATGGGGTGCCGACTCAAGTAGCAAGAGACTCTGCCCGTCCGGCAGAGGTTCAAGCCTCCCACATGGAAAGAGCCACTCACCCCTGCATGTGTGAATGATTTGAGAACCTGCTAGATCAGGCCAGTGGCCCATCCAGTTCAGCATCCTCTTCTGGCCGCCCAGGTGCCAGTGGGAAGCCTGCAAAAGCAGGACATGGGCACCAGCAACAATCTGCAATTCCCAGTAGCTGGCATTCAGAGGCATTTTGCTGCTGACTTCAGAGGCAGTGCGCGGCCATTGTCGCTAGTAGCAGCAGATAGCCTTTATCCTCCATGAATTGGTCCGGTCCTCTTTGACCTGAAGGAGCATCTCCACCCACCTTGTCCATCCCGGACACTGAGGTCCAGCTCTGGGGGGCCTTCTAGCGGTTCCCTCATTGCAAGTAGTGAAGCTATAGGGAACCAGGCAGAGGGCCTTCTCAGCACCCTCCCTGTGGAACGCTCTCCTGTCAGAGGTCAAGGAAATAAACGACTATCTGACTTTTAGAAAACATCCGAAGGCAGCCCTGGTTAGGGAAGTTTTTAATGTTTTATGTTTTATCGTGTTTTTAATACTCTGTTGGGAGCCACCAGGAGTAGCTGCGGCAGCTCAGTCAGATGGGCAGCATAGAAATAAATTATTATTATTATTAGGCCATCCAAGTTGGTGGGCATCCCTGCTTCCTGTGGGAGTGAGTTCCATAGTGCAACCACTTGCTGCACGAAGAAGCACTTTTTAAAACCTTGCAACGTTCAGCTTCGATAGATGCCCACCAGTCCCCTTGTTGCAAGAGAGGGAGAAAACTATTCCTGTGTCCTCTGCCACCATGCCATGCATAATTTCATAAGCTTCCACCGTGACACCTCTTTACTTGCCTTTTCTCTAAACTAAAAAGTCCCAAACTCTGCAGCGCCTCCCCCTATAGGGGAGCTACTCCTATGGAATAAGACTTAAGAGAATCAGACCCCTCCGTATTATTATTATTATTAGTATTATTATTCTGTCTTTGGTGATCTGTGGTGTTGGCAGGGGACAAGTCTACGGGCCCGAGCCTCCTTTTGGCTGTAAAGATTCCTATATAGCGTGACTCCTAGCGCTCAGTTGTCTCTCCCTTACCACCTCCTCCCTCCTTCCCCGGGACTTGAGTAGTTGTGCCCTGTCAACTCTGCTGGAGCTCTGCCGAAGTGGAAGCAGGGCTGAGCCTCGCCTTGCCCTCGGCAGCACGGTCCTGGATGGGAGATCCGTGGGGTGGGTTGAGGGGGTGCAGAGCGACAGGTGCTGCTTGCCTCCCTCCCCCCCCCCCCCCGGCCACCCCGTGCCCCTCGCCAAGGAGTCCTGCTTTTCGGTTATCTCTCCTTGGGCGTCTCTCTGCTCGCGCTCATTGATAAAAATTTGATTCTGCCTCCGTGGCCATATAAGGCCCGGTTTCCTTCCCCGGAGTCCCTGGCTGGGCCCCTCACATTCCTTATAAGCTGCAGCTGTCTCTTGCTTTGGTGCTGTTTTGGAAGGGGGCAGGGAGGACACGGGGAATTGAAGCACTTGGCTGAACAGACTATTCCTTCTCTCCCTCTCCCTCTCTCTGTCTCCAACCAGCTCCTCTGCTGGCTTAACTCACAGCTCGCTTCTCAGCAGCTATCGTATCAGTAAAGGGAGCCGACAGCCCTGATAACGTGGGACAATTGCTCCCCTTCCCCCAGGAAGCTTAAAAGGTCTTGGGCTTGCTATCTGCATGACTTTACTCTGCTTTTATATAGCACCTTCTCGAGGCACCAGAGTTCTTCATGCGCATACATGCATCTCACAAAATACAGAGTTGTGGAATTGGAAAAGGGACGTCGGGGTCTTTTAGTCCAACCCCCCACAGTGCAGGAATCTCAACTAAAGCATCCACAACAGATCGAACCTCGGCTTAAAAACCTCCAATGATGGAGAGTCCACAACTCCCGAGGGAGACTGTTCCACAGTCAAACAGCTCTTACTGTCTGAAAGTTCTTCCTGATGTTTAGTCGGAATCTCCTTTCTTGTAACTTGAAGCCACTGGTTCGAGTCCTACCCTGCGAAGGAGAAAACACGTTTGCTCCATCTTCCATTTGACAGCCCTTTAGATATTTGAAGATGGCTATCGTATCTCTTCTCTGTTTCCTCTTTCCCATGCAAACATTCCCAACTCTCTTTCTCTCTCGATATATATTTATTTATTAGTTTTTTTAACATCTCATTTCCAACAATCACATAACTTAACTTCTTATCTTATACATTGTTTTAGACTTCCATCAGCACCTCTGATGATTTTCTGTTCTTTATCACTTATTCTGCATTTCTTAATATATCTATTACTTTTAATTATCATCAACTAATAGGTCTCCTCATAGTCTTTCTTGCAATATTTCAAATAGTTCTCTTTACAAAACTTCTTGCAGTCCTACTAGCGTAATCTGTTCATTACTATTACTTTTCAAATAGTTCGTGTATTTATTCCAGTCTTCTAAGAATCTGTGGTCCCGCAGGTTTCGAATCCTTCCAGTTAATTTATCCAATTCTGCATAGTCCATCAATTTCATCCACCATTTTTCTTTCGTCGGTAATTCTTCTTGCTTCCATTTTTGTGCCAATAGTAGTCTTGCTGCCGAACATTCCCAACTCTCTCAACCGTTCCTCATAAAGCTTGGCTGCCTTCCTCTGCGCTTGTTCCAGCATGTCAGTATCCTCCTGGACACAGGGCTCCAGGTGTGGTCTGACCAAGTCAACAATCCTCTGAACCTCACAACAATCCTGTAATGTCAGTGGCATTGTTGCTGTCCCCACCCCACCCCACCCCCAAGTGCAGATGAAAAGGTTCAGGCTGAGAAGAGAGTGTTTGCTTGAGTTGAAGGTAGGATTCAGCCACAGATTTGCTGGCTCTCTCCCTCTTTGCCACCAGGGTTTTGGAAGCCCCTTCCACCACATAGGGAGCTAGCTGCCTTCTACTACCGAGTCAGGCTGTCGGTGCAGCTAGCTCAGCATTGTCAATGGCTCTCCAGGGTTTCAGGCAGGCCTTTCCCATCCCTCTCTGGAGGTGCCAGGGTTTGAACCTTCTGCATGCAAGGCAGATGTCCTGCCACATAGGAGACTGCCTAGGGCCAGGTCAGACGGTTTTATCTCTTCTGCATCTTTGACTGCTCTGGTCAGCAGCTACCCTGCAAGGTCTCTGGCAGAGGCCTTTCCCGTCATCTGCTGCCTTCTGATCTTGTTCACTGCAGGTGCCATTGGTCCATTTCACAGAATTGTAGAGTTGGTAGGGACCACAAGGGTCATCTAGTCCAACCCCCTGCAATGCAGGACTCTTTTGCCCAGTGTGAGGCTCGAACCCATGACCCTGAGATTAAGAGTTTCATTCTCTACCGACTGAGCTATCCCTCGGCTAACTGTGGCATGTTCTCAATTGGCAGAAGCTCTCCACAGATTGGAGCGGAGGTCTTTCCCATCACCTCCCGTCTGACCCTTTTAACTGGAGATGCCGGGTTTTGAACCTGCGGCCCTCTGCGTGAAAAAGCATGTGCTCTCTCCCACTGAGCTGTAGTCCATTTCCAACCTTGAGAAAATCCCTGGCTCTCATTTATTTCCTTTTTGCATATTTTGGAAGATACAGGAAATGAAGCTTCTGTAATAGCTTCCTCGGGTCACAAATCCGGCCCCCGGCGCAATAGAGAGCGCAGCGGGCAACTGTATGAAGCAAAATACTCCTCTTGTGAAAACCAGCATTGCTTGAACGGCTTCCCTAGTGTTGCCATAGAGCGGGGTTTCCTAAACTTGGGTCTCCAACTGTGTGTGTTTTTGTTTTTGTTTTTTTCCACTACGATTCCCATCATCCCTGATCTCTGTTCCTGCTAGCTACAGATGATGGGAGTTGTAGTTCAAAAACAGCTGGAGACCCAAGTTTGGGAAACCCTAACCTAGAGAGACACCTTTGCCCTTCACCAAGCTGGTTTGTGGTGTGTTTGTTTTATGGGGATCATAAGGACGTTAGATGGAAACTTGCTGGTCAGAACAAAAGCCGATCAGTCCACCATGTTGTTCTCACGTTGGTTACCTTCAATGCCTATGGGAAGCTCACATGTAGGGCATGAGGGCTCACTGTCCCCAGCAACTGGTACTTGGAGGCATCCTGCCATCCGCGAGTTGCCGCCTGAGAGATGGAGATATCCCCAGTTCCTAGATTTGTGCTTGGGGGGCATTGGTGTTTTCCAATTAGCACAGGTCAGCAGTGGAGGTGTATTTCAGATTAGGTCATAATCTTTGCCTTTACAATTGGGAGGGTGGGGGGAAACCCCACTAAAACTTCTACATGCAGAAAATAATGTACCCACACCCTCACTTTCCCACCCGCGTTTTAGAAGACTGACTGCAGAGGCTAGAACTATGTGCCTTATTGCTGCTCTTGACCTTTTGGAGAAAGGAAGAGGGATTTGAGGAAGCTTTTATTCCTTCTCTGCCCGTTACATAAGGAGCCAATTCCTGTACTTGTGCTCTTTGGAGAGCTTGTTTGTGTGTGTGTGTGGCTGTTGACCGGCTACAAGTCTTCGGACTGAATGGGTTTTTAGTTTTTGGAACAGAGTTCGTCTGTGCTCTTTCCTGTTACCAGTGGAGCTTTTAACTTGAGGTGGTGGGATTTGAACTGGCAACCTC